GCCAGCAGTGAGGACGAGGTGCTGCGTGTAGGAGTGTCAGAAGGTGCCAAAGACTGCGGGGTAAAACGTGGCGGTGTGCATGAAGAAGAAAGAAGGCCCTGGGCCTTGGGTCTCTCTCGACCCTGACAGGCATCACCACTGCCATGGGAGAGGTAGTTGTGCCAGTGAAGCAAGGGGCTAAAGGAGAAAAAAGGCCAACAATTAAGTTTCCTCCCAGCAGGCTAGCCTCCACCACCTCCTGGCTCCTCACCCTCTTGGTTGGGGGTTAGGGTGATTTGCCACCTGCTGTAGCTCCTCACACACGTTGTGGACTCCTCCGTTAGGAAAAGCATTTGGACACTCTGTAATGAGGAAGGGAGGCTTCCCTTGTGGGTGGGTCCCTTCCAGTGATTCAGTGTAACGTGTGGCGTCCAAATCCAAATGTCAATGGAATTGATGTGTTATGTGCTACAAGTACCTGTCTCACAACTATCAGTGGGGGTTCTCCCGCTCAGGGACTGCCATATAGAGAGAAGTGAGAGTGGGGCATAAATTGCTCTCTAACCTGCCTCCTTGTCCCATCTGTGGTAGTCCAGCAGAAACAATAGAGAATCCCAGGAGGAGAAAGTGAAATCACTCCTTTTGTTAAAGATTTAACGGCAGCCAGAATACTCGCCTTTTCCCAGCACAACATCGCCATCTGCCTGACACAGCTGCCAGTACACCCTTTTTGGAGAAAGAACTATTAACCTGCTCCTAGACCTCTTGAAGCTGAATGCCTGACCCACGAAGGCCTTGTGACTCGCTGGTGTGACATCTTCACTTTGGGGTAGGTCAACTGGAATTGGGGAATTATTACAGGCCCAACAGACTTTGCAAGTCAAGCAGAAATGTTATATTTGAGACTGCAGCTGGCCTGACCATAGCTGTAAGTATCTTAACTTTACATGAGAAATTAGTGGCTACCCCTTTGGGGGATATTTTGTGCCCAACTTCACTGCCTGAGCCAAAGCCACTGGCTTAGTGGGGGTCTCAGTTCACAGAATGCCTGGGCTTGGTTCAACTGCTTGGCAGCAATTTCTACCAAGTCTCAGAAAAACCATCTTGTAGCTGTAGATAAGATAATGCTAAAATTTATAATGCAAGGCAAAGGAACTAAAATAGCTAAAACTATTTTGAAAAAGAAAAAGCAAGAAGAATCATTCCATTCAGTTGCAAAACTAGAGTAATCAAGACTGTTTGATATGAGGGGAGGGATAGACACACAGACCGATAGAAGAGAACAGAGAATTAAATGTAGCCCCACACAAATACCATCCACTGATTGTGAAAAGGTGCAAAAGCAATAGAATGGAGGAAGAATAGTCTTCAAGAAACGGTGCTGGGACAGTGGGTTTATAAGACTGGCAAAAATATGAGCCTCCGCCTAAACCTCATGCTATATAAAACTTAAAATGGATCATAGATTAAACATAAAATATAAAACTTCTAGAAAAAAACATAATAGATAATTTTCAAGATCTAGGTTAGGCAAAGAATTCTTACACTTGATACCAAAAGCATGATCCATAGAAGAAAAAATTGATAAATTGGACTTCATCAAAATTTACAACTTTGCTCTGCAAAAGACCTTATGAAGAAAATGAAAAGATAAGCTACAGACTGGGAGAGAATGTTTGCAAACCACATATATAGAATGTATAAAGAACTCTCAAAACTCAACAGTAAAAAGACAATCCAATGTACAAAGGATAAAAGACATGAAGAAACATTTCACTGGGGGCTGGCCCCGTGGCCGAGTGGTTAAGTTCGCGCGCTCCGCTGCAGGCGGCCCAGTGTTTCGTCGGTTCGAATCCTGGGCGCGGACATGGCACTGCTCGTCAGACCATGCTGAGGCGGCGTCCCACATGCCACAGCTAGAGGAACCCACAACGAAGAATACACAACTATGTACCGGGGGGCTTTGGGGAGAAAAAGGAAAAAATAAAATCTTTAAAAAAAAAAAAAAAGAAACATTTCACTGAAGAAGATATATGACTAACAAACACATGAAAAGATGTTCAACATCACTATGCATCAGGAAATGCAAATTAAGATTACAATAAGACACACCACACATCTATCAGAATGGCTAAAATAAATAGTATCAACACCAAATGCTGATGAGGATGCAGAGAAACGATCACTCATACATTGCTGGTGGGAATGTAAAATGGTACAGCCACCCTGGAAAATAGTTGGATAGTTCTTTAAAAACTAAGCATATACTTACCATGTGACCCAGCACTTGCACTCCTGGACATTTATCACAGAGAAGTGAAAACTCAGGTCCACGTTAAAAACCTGTGCACAATTGTTCATAGCAGCTGTATTTTTAATGGCCAAAAACTGGATTCCACCAAAGTGCCCTATAGTAGGTGAATGGTTAACTGTGGTGTATCCATGCAATGGAATACTACTCAGCAATACAAGGCAACAAACTATTGACACAACTTGCAACAACTTGGATGGATCTCAAGGGCATTATGCTGAGTGAAAAAAGCCAACCTCAAAATGTCACATGCTGTATGATTCCATTTATATAACATTTTTGAAACGACAAAGTAATAAAGATGGAAACATATTAGTGGGTACCAGGGGTTAGGGATGCTAGGAGGCAGAGAGATATGTGTGTGACTATAAAGGGGTCGCACAAGGGACATCTTGGTGGTGATGGAATAATCTATATCTTGGTTAAAATGGTGGCTACATGAATCTACACATGTGATAAAATGACAGAACTATACATACATATTGTACCAATGTCAGTTTCCTGATTTTGATATTGTGCATTGTGTAGGAGATAACCATCATCAGAGGTTATGCCCATCATTGGGACATTACTGATAGTAATAGGAGATTATAAACACAATAAAAAAAACTCTACTGAAGTAGTGGAGATAGGATAATCTGAAACAATGGGTAATCCAAATGGTGTATGTGACTATAGTGCTTGTAGTTAAATTCAAATGTCTTAGTTGAGACCTGTAAATTCAGTAAAATCTAGAAATGAAGCTCTATGATAAACGATTCTAGAGAGACCAGAAGAGTCCATCTAATTTCCCCATCCTCCCCGCTGCACATTCATCCATGCTGGAAATGGCCCTTTCTTATCTTCATGCCAGACACTGAAGTGGTTCGAACTCAAAAGGCTTCCCTGGGAGCAAATAGATTGCTTGAGATAGAATTTCCATAAATAATTATGTACAGTAAATTCTGTAGAACTTGAGAGTAAAATTTGCTAGAGTTGCCAAGTGTTGTATTTGTGAAAGAAGATAAATAGACAGATGTGCTCCCTACATCTATCCATTATACATAGCAGAATTCTCATAAATTCAACTATGCTTATCCGGCAGCTACCAAAAACAGACTTCCTGAAACAATTTGATAGCTTTTATACTTTGATAAAAATTAATTCAAACACACTGTGCTTGTCAACTCATCTATTAGGACCTTACCATTTTAATCATGTAAATCAGGGATTGGCAAACTTTTTCTGTAAAAGACCAGATAGTGAATAGTTTAGAGTTTGCAGGCCATACAGCCTCTGTTGCTACTCTTCCATTCTGCTGTTGCAGCACAAAAGCATCCATAGACAATAAGTAAATGAATAGCTTTGGCTGTGTTTTAATAAAACTTTATTTATAAAAACAGACTGGATTTGACCCAGGGGCCTTAGTTTGCTGACCCCTGGTATAAATGAACTATTCATATGTATAGTGTTTGTATTAGAATTGGTACCAGGGCAGTTACTATCTTGATAATATTCTCCCTGTAAGCATTTCCTCCAAAGCATGCTTCCTAGATTTTCCCCCATAAGATAAAGCCTGAATTCCTGAGCCTGAAAGTTGAGGTTCTTTTTTTTTTTTCCTTGAGAAAGATTAGCCCTGAGCTAACATCTGCTGCCAATCGTCCTCTTTTTGCTGAGGAAGACTGGCCCTGAGCTAACATCCGTGCCCATCTTCCTCTACTTTATATGTGGGACACCTACCACAGCATGGCTTGCCAAGAGGTGCTATGTCCACACCCGGGGTCCGAACCGGGGAACCCCAGGCCGCTGAAGCAGAACGTGAGAACTTAACGGCTGTACCATCGGGCTGGCCCCAAAGTTGAGGTTCTTTATCACATGACACAACCATTTCTCCACATAAATCCTTCTCTAGTTCCCTTCCTAGACCACCTGAAGCACACCAGGAGTGGGGTCACTTCATGCCTTTGTTCATCCTGCAGACGTGACTTATATTCTTCCTACAGAAGCAAGCAGCAGAGAGTGGCTGGGCCAACACTTGGAATTAGAAACAGGTGAGGCAGGGTTGTAGCCATAGGTTCGTTTGGGCATATGGATTTAAAAGCTTGAGCTTTTACATCTCTTGAAAATTTTTCTCATCAAGCATTTCACACCAACATGTTGTGAACCTCCAAGAGGGATATAGAGATCCATCCAGTCTGTGACCTTCAGGAATGTAATCAAGCCAGTTATAGAAGACATAAGATATGAAATAAGTCACTGAAAAATGTTATAGGACTTCTTGTTGATTAATGGGTATGGAGTTTCAGTTCTGTAAGATGAAAAATTCTGGAGATTGCACAATAATGCGAATGTACTTTAATGAAATGTATACTTAAAAATGGTTAAGATGGTAAATTTTATGTTATGTATATTTTATCACAATTGAAGACAAAATGATTTTTTTAAATATTATGAGACTTCAAAGGAGGTCAGTTATCCCAGACAATCAGAAGAAGTAGTCTCTGAGTTAAGCTCAGATGTATAGGTGGGGCAGTAACAACAGCAGCTAATGCTCTGTGCGAAGCCCTTCCTGTATAGTGACTCTGCTAATACTCTCTGACCCCTCCTCCGCTCTGACCTCTGAAAGCCAGGAGAAAGGCAGAATTCTTTGGTTTATCTTACTCTTAAAAAATAGTCAGATGCCAAAATATTCCCACAGAATGTCGAAATCAAGAGAAGAGAAAGGAGTAAACACAGGTTTCTGTAATCAATTTTATTTATGTAGAGTGATGTAGTTTACAGCTTTAAAGAGCCCCTGGAAAACTTCAACAAAGTAATGGGAATCTTACAAATGTTTTTAAGTATGTAATTATGGTACTCATCTTTTGAATTTATAAAAATCAGAAATGTCCCCCAGAAAGTTTTGAGGTGTGACAATGGAACTAAAAACATAACAGCTACAGCTACCATCTACTGAATGCTTGGTTCCACTTGAGAAAACAAATAAGTATTTTCAAACATTTTTTAAAATAAGAGGGCTTACAAAGTGGTAACCTCTGCATGTCCAAGCCTGGTGACACTTCACAGTGTCCCTCTCTCCCCCCCAACACAAGCCAGCCTTGGCCGCATGACTACCGTAGCAGTCCAATCAGTTCCAAAATAAAAAGCAAAAGGTTGATTATGTCCAAGTAGATGTTCAGGGCAGCAAAAACATACTCTTCAGGGTCCAGGTCAGAATGATGATGTTGCCCTCCCACCATGAGCTGCACATCCATCACCATGTACTTAGAGAAAAGAAAGAAGAATTACCTACTTAAATTGTATATTCCTAGCAAATAAGTGTCCTAAATTACTGGAAAAATTATTTTAGCATCAATAAATATATTGCAGAAAATCAGCTTGTGGCTATATCTGTTATTCTTACAGCCTCAGTCATTCACGATGTCCCCAAGTTTGTACTTTATCTATTAAAGCAAGTACTTCATCCTCCCGAAGCTGGCGGGGAGAGGGGGGCAGGGGACGTGGATGACAAGTCTATAAGCCTTCCTCTCACAGGTAAGGTGATGTATTTGAAGGCAGATGGGAAAGTGGGGGAGTAAGATGAGCTGGGATCCAGTTGTCTCCCCCCAACCTCAGGGTAAGAGGGCTCAGGACACCACCCAAGATACAACCAGCCCACAGGGAACCCCAGTTGGGATTCTGACCCCTGGAAGCGTTTGGGAGTGTGGCACCTCACCTCACCCCCACAACTCTGGTAGTTAAGCCTCCTCTCTCTCACCACCCCCTGAAAAATTTTCACTTTCCCTCTCCTGCTGTTTGTTTTGTGTTGGGTAGACCTGCCTGAGTCTAGAATAATGTTCCTCTGCCTCCAAACTGGCAACAGAAACACCAACATACTTTTGCATGGAAACAAACTATGCCTAAAGCAGGATATAAGAGCTACAACAGCCAGCATCAACACACAAAGGCTGAGATCATAAGAGTAAAGGAAAATGAGTGTGAATCAGTTCCTTTCATAACAGGAGAAGAAATAAGAAAACTGAAATATACATAGTTAACCTCCTGGTCTAAATTTTTCTAACATTTGAAAAATATGACATAATTTTAACAACAAAAAGGAACATGATGAAGTAAAATGTGGAGATGTGACATGATAAAAGTATATAATGGAATACCATGCAGCTTTCAAATAGAATTAATCAGTTCCCTGCTGCTAATATGTGGAGACCACTATTTTTAAGTGAAAAAGCAAAATCAGAACACTGTATATAATATAACTATATTTATATAAAAAAAGATATATATGTGTGTGAATAGCTTCGAACACAATATCAAAGGAGAAGAATAAAGTTGGAGGACTGTTGCTACCCGACTTCAAGACTTACTATACAGTGTTAGTATCAAGAAAGTGTGGTATTGGTGAAAGAATAGACAAACAGATCAATGGAACAGAACAGAGAGCCCGAAATTGACTCACATAAATATAGTCAATTGATCTTTGACAAAGGATCAAAGGCAATACAACGCAGCAAGGACAATCTCTTCAACAAACAGTGCTGGAAAAACTGGACGTCCACATGCAAAAAAGTGACAATCTTACACCCATCACAAAAATTAACTCAAAGTGGATCATGGACTCAAATGTGAAACACAGAACTATAAAAAATCCTGGAAGGGGCTGGCCCCGTGGCCGAGCGGTTAAGTTCGCACGCTCCGCTGCAGGCGGCCGTGTTTCGTTGGTTCGAATCCTGGGCGCGGACATGACACTGCTCATCAAACCACGCTGAGGCGGCGTCCCACATGCCACAACTAGAAGGACCCACATCGAAGAATATACAACTATGTACCGGGGGGCTTTGGGGAGAAAAAGGAAAAAATAAAATCTTTAAAAAAAAAAAAAAATCCTGGAAGATAACATAGGAGAAAACCTAGATGACCTTGGGTATGGCAATGACTTTTAGATACAATAACAAAGGCATGATCCATGAAAGAAATAATGGATAAGCTGGACTTCATGAAAATTAAAAACTTCTTAATGTCAAGAGAATGAGAAGACAAGCCACAGACTGGGAGAAAATATTAGTAAAAGACACATCTGATAAAGGACTGTTATCCAAAATATACAGTGAACTCTTCAAACTCGACAATAAGAAAACAAACAACTGAATTAAAAAATGGTCAAAAGAACTTAACATATATCTCACCAAAGATATATAGATGGCGAATAAGCACATTAATAGATACTCCACATCATATGTCATGAGGGAAATGGAAATTAAAATAACAATAAGATACCACTACCCACCTATTAGATTGGCCAAAATCTGGAACACTGACAACACCAAATGCTGGCAGGGATGTAGAGGAACAGGAACTTTCATTCACTGCTGGTAGGAATGCAAAATGATACAGACACTTTGGAAGATGGTGGGGCAGTTTCTTACAAAAAATAAATATACTTTTACCATATGATCCAGCAGTCACGCTCTTTGGAATTTACCCAAAGGAGTGAAAACTTTTGTCCACACAAAAACCTGCACATGGGTGTTTATAGCAGCTTTATTTTAATTGCTAAAACTTGGGAGCAAACAAGATGCCCTTCAGTAGGTGAATGGATCCATAAATTGTGGTACATCCAGACAAGGGACTAAAAAGAAATGAGCTATAAAGCCATGAAAAGACATGAAGGAAGGTTAAGTGCACATTAAGCGCCAATCTGAAAAGACTACATACTGTGTGATTCCAACTCTATGACATTCTGGAAAAGGCAAAGCTTGGAAACAGTAAAAAGATCAGCAATCGGAAAACTAATAGAAATAATTAACAACTACAGTAAAGTTGTAGGGTACAGAATCAACTTACAAAAATCAGTTGCCTTTCTATACTCCAATAACGAACTTACAGAAAGAGAACTCAAGAATACAATTCTATTTGCAATCACAACTAAAAGAATAAAGTACCTAGGAATAAATTTAACCAAGGAGGTAAAAGACTTATACAACGAAAACAATAAGACATTACTGAAAGAAATTGATAATGACATAAAGAGATGGAAAGAGATTCCTCACTCATGGATTGGAAGAATAAACATGGTTAAAATGCCCATACTACCCAAGGCAATCTACAGATTCAATGCAATCCCAATCAGAATCTCAATGACATTCTTCACAGAAATAGAGCAAAGAATCCTAAAATTCATATAGGGCAACCAAAGACCCCGAATTGAAGGCAATCCTGATAAAAAAGAACAAAGCTCGAGGTATCACAATCCCTGACTTCAAAATGTACTACAGGGGCCAGCCAGGTGGCTGAGTGGTTAAGTTCACGCGCTCCGCTTGGGTTGCCCAGGGTTTCACTGGTTCGGATCCTGGGTGTGAACATGGCACTGCTCATAAGGCCATGCTGAGGCGGTGTCCCACATGCCACAACTAGAAAGACCCACAACTAAAATACACAACTATGTACTGGGGGGATTTGGGGAGAAAAAGCAGGGAAAAAAAGAAGATTGGCAACAATTTTAGCTCAGATGCCAATCTTAAAAAAAAAAAAAAGTACTACAAAGCCATAGTGATCAAAACGGCATGGTACTGGTACAAAAACAGGCACACAGATCAATGGAACAGAACTGAAAGCCCACAAAGAAAACCACAAACTACGGACAGCTAATCTTTGACAACAGTGCCAAGAACACACACTGGAGAAAAGACAGTCTCTTCAATAAATGGTGTTGGGAAAACTGGACAGCCACATGCAAAAGAATGAAGGTAGACCACTATCTCATGCCATACACAAAAATAAACTCACAATGGATCAAAGATATGTCCTGAAACTATAAAACTCCTGGAAGATAATATCGGTAGCACACTCTTTGCCATCGAACTAAAAAGGACCTTTTCAGATACCATGTCTTCTCAGACAAGGGAAACAAAAGAAAAAATAAACAAGTGGGAATTCATCAGACTAAAGACCTTCTGCAAGACAAAAGAAACCAGAATCAAAACAACGAGACAACCCACCAATTGGGAGAAAATATTCGCAAATCATATATCCAACAAGGGGTTAATCTCCAATAATATATAAGGAACACACACAACTGAACAATAAAAATACAAACAACCTAATCAAAAAATGGGCAGAGGAGGTGAACAGACATTTTTCCAAAGAAGATAGACAGATGGCCAATGAGCACATGAAAAGATGTTCAACATCACTAATCATCAGGGAAATACAATTCAAAACTACACTAAGATACCACCTTACCCCTGTTAAAATGGCTATAATCACTAAGACTAAAAATAACAAATGTTGGAGAGGGTGTTTTGAAAATGGTACCCTCATACACTGCTGGTGGGAATGCAAACTGGTGCAGCCACTACGGAAAACAATATGGACATTCCTCAGAAAACTAAAACTAGAACTACCATACGACCCAGCTATCCCACTACTGAGTATCTACCCAAACAACTTGAAATCAACAATCCAAAGTAACACATGCACCCCTATGTTCACTGCAGCACTATTCACAATAGCCAGGACATGGAAGCAATCCAAGCGCCCATCGACTGATGGATAGATAAAGAAGATGTGGTATATATACAATGGAATACTACTCAGCCATAAAAACAGACAAATTCATCCCATTTGCAATAACATGGAGGGACCTAGAGGGAATTATGCTAAGCGAAATAAGCCAGTCTGAGAAAGACAAACACCAGATGATTTCACTCACATGTGGAATATGAACAAACACATGGACAAAGAAAACAGTTCAGTGGTTACCAGGGGAAGGGGGGTGGGGGGCAGGCACAGGAGGTGAAGGGGAGCACTTAGGTGGTGACAGTCAAGAAATAATGTACAACTGAAATCTCACATTGATGTAAACTATTATGAACTCAATAAAAAAATTAAAAATTAAAAAAAGATCAGCAGGCCAGGATTGGAGAGTACAGGAGGGATGAACAGGCAGAGCACAGAGGATTTTTAGAGCAGTGAAAATATTCCGTGTGATAGTATAATGATGGTTACATATCATTATACATTTGTCCAAACACAAAGAATGTACAACAACAAGAGTGAACCCTAATGTCAACTATGGACTTTAGGTGATTATGACATGTCAATGTAGGTTCCTCCTTGGTAACAAAGGTACCACTCTGGTGAGTGATGTTGACAATGGGAGAGGCCATACATGTGTAGGGGCAGGGGGTATATGGGAAATCTCTGTACCTTCCTCTTGATTTTACTGTGAACTTAAAAGTGCTCTAAAAAATTGTCTTTACAAAAAAAAGAAGAAGGAGGAGGAGAAGCAAGTCACCTGGAGGGCTTTCCAGTGAATTACTGACTTTACCTAACTCCAGACCTAGCACAAGGGCCTAGGGGCGCTGTCAATGCGTATACCATACTCTTTGTCAAAGGGAGGGAGACATGGACTTACGAGTGAGAAGACCACGGTTCCCAGTCCGGCATACAACAGCTGTGCCCACTGCAAAGAAAGGGAACAACGTATATTAAGGACAAAATTTGAAATAATGAAAGGGCTCACTTAGTTTGCTGCTGTTAGATAAGGACACAATATTAAGCAAGTCAAATCTGTGGAGGAATTCATCCTTTTTGAACACAGTCATCAACAGCATCCACTCAATTCCATTCGGCAAGCAAATGAAAACTAGCCCTGCATATGCCAAATAAGGTTCATCAAGTAAGTGCTAAACATCTCATGAACAGTAGGGCAAGTAGAATGTACTAGATATGCTCCACTTTTTGCCCCATCCACATAGCCCTTCTAGAGAATCTGTCCTACCCTCAGCCCTTGGAACAGGTAGCTCTGGGAACACAGTGACGCTCACGCTCCCTTGCTAGAGCTGATTGACAAGAGGTAGAAAACGTCCATTTCAACAGCAGCCAATCTCTTGACTGAACAGGAACCTCTTATATGTGACCAGGATCAAACAGATGTGCCAGGCCAGTCAGAAATCAATTCTCAGGATAGAGGGATCCAAGCAGCAGAGGCTGTTGAACCATTAGCTAATGCTGGAGCTATTACTGTACAAGCAGAGGTGGCCAATCAACTCCGCCCAAGAGAGGAAGGCACATTTCCATTTCTGTGAATCCTGGCTCTTCTTCCCATCTAGGAGTTCCATGAGAGTCTCTGGGTCTTTGCCTCAACCTCATCTGAGCAGTCTCTGTTCCTTGCAACCAAAACAGCCCTGATCAGACTATGGGACTGGTCTAAGTGTCAAAGGGTTTGGCTCTACATGGAGAGAGCATAAGGAAGTGTGTATAACATCTCAGAAAAATAATGGTATTCACTCTTCAGGATAAGAAAGCTGGCTCTAGAAGGATGGGCAGAACGCTCTAACCAGCAAAGGCTGTTGGTGAAGGCAGGAAATTGGGAGTCAGTGACACAGTGAGGAAGGCACAGTGTTTCCAGACTAAGCTAATAGAAAGAAAACATCTGATTCCTGGAGTCTGAAGAATCTAAAACTTGCCAAAGTCAAACAAGCATGTATACTTAGGACAACAGTCTGCCGAAGTCTTCCGTTTAAACATATGTGTAAGATTATAAATTGCAGATATTTGTGAAAGAAAATTTAGAATGGAGTTTGTCGTCTAGTAGGAAACACAGTTTCTTAACTGTCGTTTAAGTGGTATTGTAAAGATCTATGGAACCCACTTAATAAATACTTGTATTATTACTACCAATATCTGTGCTACCTTCAATAACAATAAATGGAGAGATGTGGCCTTTTAAGGCATATCTTTGTGATGTTTTTGAGTTTATCTCTAAAATATAGATGCTACCTCCTTAGCAATTCAGGTAGAACTGATGGTTATATGTCTGGAGATCATTTAACAAGTCCACTTATTGCTAGAGAAACTCTTTGATTCAGCGATTGGACCAAGTTGGCCTTCGGGCTTTAGTCAAATGGTCACAGGCCCTGGGAGTGGTCAGTGGACCTGGCCTCCAGTAGGGTCTCCAGACAGGAGCCATTCACAGCTCAAAAACAGGGCCAGATCCTCTGCCTCTACCTCTCCACACCCTTGCAGCCTCAATTCAGATATGGTGCCATGTGGTGAAAAGAGCATGGGCACCGGAGTCACCCAGATCTGGCTTGGATCCCACCCCTACCAGTTATTCCCTGTGTGAACTCAGATGAATTATTTAATTTCTCTGAACCTGTTTTCTTATCTATAAAATAGATGAGATATGTACTTGTCAGGAATGTTGTGAGAATTAAATTTTATGCTTATGTGAAAAACACATAAGCCTATGTCTGATATCTAGTAAAGAGTCAATGAATATATTAAAGCAATACAAAAAAAGAAAAAGAAAAAAAGCTGGAAGGAACCTCCTCTAGGCTGCTGTCAGAAAAGTCTGAACAAGCCTATCTTTCCACTCCCGTTACTGCGAACAAGCAGCTCCCATGTGGAGAAGGAATTTGACCTGCCCTGTGCGTAGGTTCCCCCAAAAGCCTCTTACAGAAGGACAGCTGTAGTCTAGGGTAGGAGCTCAATCTTCCTGCCCCAGACCTCCTCTCCATGGCACCCCCAACCACAACACCCTGGGCAGCCACAAGGGCGGAGCTCACAGACTTCCAGCTACCAGGAAGAGTGGAACTGACCAAGAGCCCCGGCAGCTGTGCGGTGCAACCCACTGCAGTTTAATCCTGGGCCACACTTCCCCTCCTCAGGATTGGTGGGAGCAGCAGGGCCCTTCCTAGGAAACACGGGACTTCTGTGAATGTTTGACTTTAGCTCAAGGACACCCTGGAGGCCTTGCTGAACTTTCCTTACACAGCACCATGTCTAGAATATTCCCACCTGACCTTTCTTCCCTCTCCTTCACTTGGGGTCAGGTATGCTATCTGGTGTGACAGCTCTGCTAGCCTTCATCACTCCTGCTTTTCTCATAGACATGTCTCCTAAAGTCCTTGCACATTTTACCCATCTCAATGTCTGCTTCTCAGAGAATCCAGACTAAGACAACCAGCACGTCACTCTGTATTTCCAACAATTCTCTGAGGTTTCCAAATGAGATCCCACTTACATATGATCGTATGAAGATTAAGAAAATTCCAAAGATTAAAAGCACGAAGAGTAAAACGAACAGCACTCCATTTAGCAAGGTGAAATCCCACTGAGGAAATATAAACAACACACAACAACTCAATTATCATCTTTAAGGAATTTCAGGATGTTTAGAGATGCATCTTATACCCCACAGACAGAAACCGAACCATTTGCTAATAATTTACCCTGGCCAATTCTGAGACCCATAGAAATCCATTGGCCCCAACCACTGAAAAATGCTACATAAAAAGTGTTGTACTGACTGGACTTGCTTCAGGAGAGAGAAGATGTTGGGAGTATGGATGAAATAAGAGTCACGAATTGATAATTTTTGAAAGTGGGTAACGGGTAAATGGGGGTTCATTATATTATTGTATTTTTATATTTATATGAAATTTCCTCTAATACTAAAGGTACCTTAAATAAACAGGATGCAAATTTGTATGTATAGTATTATCATAATTATTCATATTTTTAAACGCATGTGCATGGAATACATTAGTGGAGTGAAATAGACCAAGATGTTAACTGGGTACCATTTTCATGTTTATATGCATATATTTTAATAAAAATATATATACTAAGCTTTCCAAAATTACTGTTAATGATTCTTTTGTAATTTTTAAATTTATTAATATGCTTTTGGGTTTTGCCTTTATAAATCAGTGACCAAATCAGTGTGGGGGAGATTGGGATTTTTTAAAGAAAGGGGAGTATTCATCTTCTGACCTGAGAAAATTTGGATTATGCAGCAAAAGAAGAGCTTTGAATTTAAGATATTTTCTTGCAAGGGAATTTTCCTAATTCCTCTATTTCCCCCCTCACTCCTTACCCTTAACACACCCAGAGAATCATCTAAAGTACTAAGCAGCCAGGTCTGCTTCTCAGACCAGCAGCATCAGCACCACCTGGGAAATGCAGAGTACTGGGCCCCGCCCCAGACCTTCTGAAGCAACAACTCCGGGATGGAGCCAGCAATCTGTTTCCACAAGCCCTCCAGGTGATTCTGACGCCTGCTAAAAAAGTCTGTCTAGAGCTATGCTTTCAATACATGAGGTTACTGAGCTCTTGAAATGTGGCTAGTTGGAATCGAGATGTGCTCTAAGTATAAAATACACACTGGATTTGAATTTTAGTTAGAAAAAAATATAAAATATCTCAATATTTTTGTTATATTGATTACATGTTGAAATGATAATACTTCACATATATTGGTTTAAATAAAATATATTATTAAAATTAATTTCACCTGTTTCTTTTCACTTTTTTAACATGGTTACTAGGAAAGTCAGAAGCCAGAAGGCGAGGAGGCCATGGAGGTGAGGCCCACAGGCCAGAAGAGAGCAGAGGCAGGAGGGAGGAGAATGGGTCAGCAGGGGCAAAGGAACATATCCACACACTCCTGTACAGGAAACAGAAATCTGTTTCGATAATACGTACTTTTGTTTGAAGAGCAAATAAAGTGAGCGATAACGTCAACAGAGCAGTTGCTGCCGTTGCCCATAACACTTCCTCGGCATTATAGAAACTAAAACCAGAGACTGCAATTAGCATTCACATACATTCAAAGCAAAGCACACGCAAAAAAGGAAACGTGTATCAAAGACTTACACTGTCACGGCTCCTAGCAGCAGACCTTGAAGAACTGTCTAAAAACAAAATTCACAAGAAATCAGAAGCCTGATTCCCAAGGCCCAGAATCTGGAGGAGATGATTTGATGGGTGTGTGTTTTTGCAGGGTCTAGGGAGCAAGGGGGAGTATGCAAAACCCCAGTGCACAAAGTGACAGGGCAATTGATTATGGGAAATAAATAGGAGGACTAAACATTTCCTTAACCTTCCCCCTGAGACTGACAGGAGAAAATTCTTTTATTAGTAAAAATTTCTCAGAACACAACGGTAACTTTCAACATATTTAGTGAGTTAAATATATATTAATTAGGAACATGGAAACCAAGGTAAATATTTATCTGTAGACCGCATTGCCATTAATCAAATGGGGCCATCCACACAGATTTTATCAGAGCAGGATACGCTATTTCTACTAATGCCTCACCAGCAGTTTCAGTCCTGTCCTCTCCCATAGTGCTTGGGTGAGAATCAAATACTTCAGACCTCAGAGGTGGGATGAGGATTGCGACCTTCTCAGGACCAGGGGATGGGGCTGGAGGGCATCTACCTACAGAGCATGGAGCTGCACCTGTAGGGGCCAATCCAGGGCTCAGAAGAGGGCTCTGCTGGGGCTGTGTTGGGGCTGGAGGTTTCCCATGGAGCCAGGGATGGGGCAGTGTGAGAGAGAGGCAGGGGCTGAGAGCCAGTGGGCAGTCAAGCCAGAGGATGAGATCAAAAAAGGCAACGAGGATGTGCCCAGGCCCACAGGCTCCAGGACAGCCGGCAGGCTGTGTGAGAACTACAGTTAGCTGTGGCCACAGGGCCTGAGGACATTCCCCTGCTGGTAGGATGCTCCATCAGAGGCAAATCCAGAGACTCAGCTGATCCGCTGGTTCACAGCAAGAGCCAGGAAAGAATCCTCCAGTCTCAGGGAGTAACAATGAGGACACATCCTAACTGCAGTGCTAGGACTGCTAGAGGGGCTTTGAGCTTCTCCAGTCGGCCGATGAGGTGCAATCAGATCACAGACCAGAAAAGAACTGGAGTACCGAGAGTGCTAGATTGCCTCTCTGGATTTCCCAAACCCAGTGGGTAATTGCCTGATTCTCTCGTTCGTTAAACTTACCAGAGTAAGCTGGTTTGATTTCCATTATAGGTTTAAAAAAAAAAACGGAATAGATTTCTATGTACACATGACATTTTAATAATGTGCTTGCTTCCGACCTTCCTCTCAAGATTAATTTTCTTCTTCTTCTACTTGCTCAATTGTGTCATATTTCTCCATCTTCAGCAGCACATGAAAGAAGTGTATGTGTGTGTGTGTGTGTGTGAAAGAGAGAGAGACAATGGAGAGGGGGAATGAGAGGGAGAGGGGATGATTTCAAGCTGGAAACCACCCTTCCGTTTGCTGAAGGGTAGGAGAGGCGTAACCAGAGGCCTCAAAAGTCAAACCTGCCTGATGGCGTCAAGAGCTCAGAACACAGGCTCAAGAGGCCAAAATTCTACAGGGCAAAAGCTGTCTTCAGTATGTGAGTGTTTTCCTTTTTTCCCTCAACTCCTTTTCTGAAATGGTTTTCTCCATATGTTTCTTGACACTTGGGCAAGACATAAAATCTAGAAAATATAGCTAATTCTTTGCTCCTCTATAATATTTCTTCTCTTAACCTGTTACCTACTTTGGGATAAAGAGAAAAACGTCAGAGCTGAAAGCTTCCTTTGAGACCAATAAATTTGATCTCCTCTTGTAATAAACTTTAAAACCATTGAAAAGTTTAAAAATTCAAAATTTTCTGGAAAAACACCCCCCCACACACCCCTGCCCCATGGCCACTGCTCCAGGATTCCTAGTATCTTCCTATGTCTGGCTCTTAGCCCCCACTCCTCCTGAGTGTGCTCTATGCTGTCAGTACAGCAACTGCGAGACCCCACTTACTCACCTGGGCAACGAGCAGGATATCCATGCCAACTAAGCAAGGCCCCTCAATGCTCTGGAAGCTGAGGAAATGCCTAACTGTGGGCATGAGAGAGACAGTCTTCTCCAGCCTCAGGAGGAAACTATTCTTCCCAACACGTAAATTACCCTGGACGCTGCACTGCGTGGATGCTGAGAATCTCCTCACTGGCCATGTGTTCTTGCTCGGTTTGACCACCAGGAGGCGCAGATCCAAATCTAGGCTCATCACACTCAAGTGCATAGGACCATGCATTTTGTACGCTCATCAATCGCTGGCTTTATTTTCCTACCCTTATTTTTTATTCCATCAGATTCCTCCACAAATTGATCTTATACTTTTATATTGTGGGCATTTTTATAAGCTACCTCGAATGTGATATGGAACCAGAAGAGGAATAAATTAATCGGTAAGTAAATCTTCACATGAAAGGGTGGTCAAAAGAGCTTGGGAGGAAACGCGAACTCTCCCAGAGAGAATCATTTGCCGACTCACTGAATCACACTGAGACTGTTCTGGATTTTCCCAAGAGGAACAAATGCTTACTATCAGTGAGTTTCAGAGAGACTGCTGGCTCCAGGAGGCAAGAGGTTTGGCCTGACTGGGAAGCGGAAAGAAGAGTCAGAAAAATGGGGAATGATTATTCTGTTATTGGGTCTCTGAGGAGGAGCCCTGTGACCTTCCAGGAAGCAGAGTCCTGAGTCGGGAAAGGAGTAAAATGATAGAAATTTAGGCTTTATTCAGGTTTTAAAAATCTAGGAGCTCCAGGTACTCCTGAAAGCTGGCGAGATCTTGGAGTCCTTGTGGGCGGCACAGAAACGAAGCCGCTGCAAGAATGTGAGCCGCACAGTTTTCTGTGGCCCAGAGCAGCTCTGATCCACAGAGGAAGGGCCCATGTGGTGAGGCCTTGTGAGTGGAAGCCCACAAGGAGGTTGGCAACTAGGAGCCGGATCTTGCATAAAAGGCCATGGCCAAGGAATAGAAGCCCTCCAGCCCCCAACACTCTGGCGCTGAAAAAGCCCGATTGAAGAAAGATAGCAAGGCAGGGAAATGAGGAGAACCTGAACTGAGATGGCTTCTGCTCCCAGTGAGAGTTGAAATAGAAATAAAATACATTTTATAAAAATAAAGAAAACTGCATTTCTTGCACAAGAGTTTGTGAGCTAAATGTGGACCCACACAACAAAAATGTGTTTGTTGTTTCTGGCAGAGGCCCAGTTACAGTTAGGCTAACTGTTTCTGAAATGGAGCCCAGACTCAGGAGTGGGTTCTCCCCTGTGGCCTCTGAGAGGCACGGGTGCCAGCACGAAGGAGTAGCCCAGGGTCCCCAAATTCTCTAGCTTATTAAAAGGGTGTGGATACTATCTCATAAGTAAGTTTACGACTTCATTACAACCAGAATTCAGCCAAGAGAACATCTCACAAATAATTTCTAACTGTATTATCCCTCGGGAAGATTCTCCACAATAAAAGGAATGGATTTAATAATGTGACAAAAATATATTTCAGAGGTGAGCTACAATGAGTGCTGACGGGGTTTACTTACAAATACTCCCAGGAGAATGTAATTTCCAGGCACCTGACGGCGGATTTTCCCACAGCAAGCAAGTATAATAAGTACAACAAAAAATGCTGGCCTGAGGATAATTTAAAACCACGTGTTATTTGTTTCCAGTGCTTATAGCATAAGATACAGGTAGGTAGATAGTGATATATATCATTATATGATATTATCTGGTAATAAGTATTATAAAGTAAACAAAAATGTAGATTATTACCTTTACCTTATTTCTTTTTCACCTTTTAAAACTAACTTTTTTCATTGCCATCCACAGACAGCTTGTAGGTTCTTTTTTTAAATTTTTATTTGGACGTAATTGTAGATTCACAGAAAGTTGCAAAGAGACAGAGAGGTCTCTAATACCCTTTACTCAGTTTCCCCCAATGGTTCCATCTTACATATTTATAGCATAATACCAAACCAGTAATTTGACATGTACAGCGTGTATATATAATGCTGTGTCATAGAACTGTGACACAAATCTATGTGCAGATATGTGTAACCAGCGCCACAATCAAGATTCGGAACTATCCCATCATTAAAGCATCAGCAAAGAGCCACCTCGTGCCGTCCCTTTACGGTCACACACACGCACACACACACACGCAACCACTAATTTGCTTGTTTTCTGTCTCTATAATTTTGTCATTTCAAGAATATTATAGTTTTGCCTAATTTTACCTAGTTAAAATCAATAGCTAGTAGAAAAACCACTTTTTATTAAATCCAATAATACTTACAAGATTGCATAGGTGAACCAGGCATGGTTGCGCACCCAAACTCTTAAAGCCTTCCTGATTAAAAAAAATGAATATAGTTTTACACAATAAGTAGTTTATTTTGCTAACGAATGTAATATTTAAGGAGAAGTAAAACAATGTCATGAGAAGAAAGGGAGAAATCCTAATGATTGATGATGACAGATGAGGAGTGAAACAGTTAAACATATAACCATCTCTTGCTCCTTAAAATAGATTCATAAAAAGATACAGTCATAATAAGTGGTGAGTCATATTTGGATAATGCAAATGTCCTAGTGAAATTTTTTTAATTAAAAAAATACTGAGATTGGGTATGTGTACAAAGCAAAAGAAATCAACTTCTCATATATTTGTTTTGTAAATATAGATTTTCATATGAGGGGTTTAAGCAGTGATGGCTCATAATCCCTGAGATAATTTCTGCATTTAACAGTGTTCCAGCCTCCAAGGGCTCCATAATCTCACCTTTTTTTCTCTATCCAGTTTTATCTGTGGAATAGCTCAGGGAAATTTAAAAAAAAAAAATAGTGCCCAAAATAAGAGTAAGAAAATAAGTTCTTGGTTTAGGAAGTTGAAGTAAAATTCTCGAAATCCACCAACACTTTAGTCTAGGAGTTGCCTCAGAAAAACAAAGCTATAGAAATATCGTGTCCTATGAGTGGTTCAGAAAAAAATAAATGCTTTTTTAATGATCAATATTAAATAGAGCTGATTCAATAAGAATTAATGTGAACAACTTAATATTTAATTTACATCAGTAATAAAGACTTACCAGAAAACAAACACGCTGGTAATTGCCACAGTGACCACCAACTGAGCTGACAGGATGAGGAACACTTTTACAATGAAAGCTGAGGAGACAAAAAACATTTTTATAACACAATAGTCAAAAGTAAAAATATAAATGTAATTACCTATTGTTGATACTTGACGAAATAAATTTTTCCTCTGATTTTTTGAGGATGGGAAAAAGAGTGTTAGTTTAAAGTCAGCAAATAGGATGACAGCAAAAATACAGCTCTGCAGAACTTCTGGAAAATACTCAGTCCGTATTGCCAGACGTGTTTTACCGGAGATCTGAGGGTTTATCCACGGAAGCCCCAAAATTTTAAAGACAAACTCAGAGATTGAATTCTTTATTATGCACACCCCATCCTCCTTAGGACCAACAGTGATCTGAAAGTCTTGGGATATCACAGGCCCACCATCAGGGACCCAGTTACACCCCTGCACAGAAGGGAGAACAGCGACGCCTCAGGGACTGCTCGTGGCCAGGGCGTTTACCCCTCTGGGAATGGACTTGGGCTGCGGGGGGTTTACAGAGCTTTCCCACCACTTTTCTCTTCAGCCTTACCTGCCTTTAGCAGCTCCTTTCCCTTCTACTTGTGCAGAAACTAGATCACCTCATGAATTGTAAGTAAGACTAAGGAGTTCCAAGTGAATGGCGTGCCGAAGCAGAGTGCAGAGTATGTTCACATCTCTTTTCGCTTACTTCCTACTTCACAGGTTTTCCTGAGGCCCTCTGAATATGGTGCTGGTAATGACAATTTATTTTTTTGTGGCTTTATCCCAAATTTGAAAGGAAAAAAAAAATAAAGAATGCTGTTTAAAGTGGACTTACAGGATCATCAGCTATGTCCTTTTGCTGGTCTGTTTCTGTGCATAGGAAGGGTGACAACAAAGAAAGGGGACTGAGCTATCTTAATCAAAATACCAGAACATATGTACCCAAATGTATGCTGCCTACATTACAATATTCATTTAGCTAACATTCCTTTCACATCTACTATGTGTTGGGGACTGTGAGGGAATAAATTAAATGTGGCTCAACGTCATGAGACTAGACATATAGTAGATCAAAGGAGTAGAATTGAGAGCCCAGAAATAATTGCTTATATTTATGGTCAACTGATTTTTAACAAATGTGCTAGAACAATTCAATGGAGAAAGAATAGTCTTTTCAACAAATGGTGCTGGACAACTGGACATACACATACAAAAGGATGAATTTGGACCCCTTCTTCATGTCATACATACACAAAAATTAATTAATTAGTTTAAAATGGACTATAGACATAAACATAAGAAATAAAACTCTTGGAAGAAAGCATAGGTGTAAATCTTTGTGACACAGATTAGGCAATGATTTTTTTAGATATGACATCTAAAACATAGCAAAAATGAAAAAAAAAACAGATAAATTGGATTTTATCAAAAGTAAAAGCTTTGTGCTTCAAATGACATCATCAAGAAAGTGAAAGAAATCCCACAAACTGGGAGAAAATATTTGCAAATCATGTATCTGATAAGGGACTTGTATCTAGAATACATAAAGAACACTTACAATTCAATAACACGAAGAAAATTAACAATTAAAAATGGGCAAAGCTTGGGTAGTGCCCTCCCACATTGACACTGGGTTTGGCCACATGACTTCTGTTGGTTAGTGAGACATTACTATGTGTGCTGCAAGCAGAGGCTTGATAAACCACTTGCACATTGGGGCTTGCCCACATGGTATATTTCTTCTTGGGACCCAGCTGCCATGTGATGAGAAGCTCAAGCCACAAGGAGAGAACCAACAACCAACACCAACCGCCAGCTGTGTCAGGCAGTCATAATGTCCACTGCAGCCTCAGCCACCGTCTGATTACAACTACATGAGAGCCCTCAATCAAGACAGTATAAGAACTGCCCAGCTGAGCCCAGTCAACCCACAGAATCATGAGAGATAATAAAATGGTTGTTATTTTCTAAAAAGTGAGCAAAGGATTTGAATAGACACTTCTCCAAAGAAGGTATGCAAATGGCCAATAAGCATGTGAAAAGATGCTCAACATCATTAGTCATTAGGGAAATGTAAATCAAAACTACAATGATATGTCAATTCACAGACACTACAATGGCTATAATAAAACAGACAAAAACAAGTGTTGATTAGGATGTGGAGAAATAGGAACCCTCATACACTGTTGACTGGAATGCAAAATGGTACAGGCACTTTCCAAGTTTGGCAGTTCCTGAAAATGTTAAACAGGGTTTACCATTTGGCTCAGCAATTCCTAGGTATTCACCCAAAAGAAAAGAAGATATCTGTCTACACAAAAGCTCATATATGAATGTTGATCACAGCATTATTCATAAGAACCCAAAAGTAAAAACAACCCAAATGTCTGTCAACTGATGATTGGATAAACAAAATGTGTTCTATCCAGGCAATGGATAAGGCCATAAGAAGGAATGAAGTACCAACACATGCTACAATATGGGTTAACCTTGAAAACGTTATGCTAAGTAGAAGAAGGCAATCACAAAAGACCACATATTGTATGATTCCATTTATATGGGATATTCAGAATAGGCAAATCGATAGAGACAGAAAGTAGATTAGTGGTTCCCAGAGGCTGTGGGGACGAGAGGATGGAGAGTGACAGATAAAGGGTATGAGTTTCTTTTAGTAGTAATGCTTGCACAACTCTGTAAATATACTAAAAACCATTGAATTGTACACTTTAAAAGGAGTGAATTTTATGATATGTAAATTTTATCTCTATAAAGCTGCTTTAAAAAAATGTAGCCCCTCCCCAGCCCTGTAACTCTTGATCCATTATCCTGCTATACTTTTCCTTTTTTTCCATAGCACTTTTATCTTTCTATGTACTATATAATTTTTTAAGTATATAATTGTTTTTAAGTATATAATTTTTTAAAGGGGAGGGCCTAGCCTCTGCCATCCAGGAGAGGCAGATAAAATAACTAACTCTAATGGTAGTGAGGAAGCTTTACACATGTTTTCAAGTATAACCCTTTATGCTTCATTTCCTCATCTGTAAAATGACACTACCACTACTTCATTGAGAGGGTTATTGTAAGGACTAAACGCAGCGATGAGGGCTTGGCACCTGTGGTGGAGGTGGCTAGTTGCTTGGTGACATCTGTTTTCCTCACCTTCCTCACCATCTAAACTAGATCTTGTTAAAGGTGGCAATGGATCCAAGTGAAAAACTACAGATAGAGGTGGCCACATGCCCCAGGTAGGGTAAATGACATGTAATTGGAAACCCCTGGGTGTAGTTTCTGGGAAAGCCTCTGAAAAGAGGTCAGGTTTGGCTGATTCTTAGGACATCTATCCATGAGTGGCGCCCCCTGGAGTTGTCAGGGCAGCAGACCAGCCTTGGCCTTCCTTTGCCTTTGCCTTTGCCTTTTCCTGCCTGGAAGGTTAGAACTTCAAAAGGCATCTTTCCAGCCACAAGCTGGAGGGTGAGGGTCACAGGGAAACTGTAATGGGATTTAAAGCTCATAGTCCACCTTCAAGTTGTCCAAGCCCTAAGAAGGTCTAAGCGGGGCGGAGCAGTCACTGGGTACCTGTGACATTTGCCTTGAACTGCCTACCTTCAAACTTCATATTTCATGAAAGAATAAAAAACTTCTCATTTATGTAAGCCACAGTTCTCTAGGTTTCTGTTACTCACAGCTGAATATATTTTCTATACAGAATGAATATGTAGGGCATTGAATTAATATTCTTTAAAACTTAAGCCAATATTATGGTATCACCTTGTATGTAGGTAAGAACATTCTACAATCAATGACTAATTTGTATTTCCTAAGAAAACCACAAGTCATTCACCACAATATATTTAGTATGAATTTCTGAATGCCCTGGACAACTTGGGGGCCATCTATTATAGAACCCTACATCATGTTTCATGGTAAAGTATGACTGGGAAAAACTAAAAGTAAATTAAATCTTTCTGACAATCCATTCTGTGGAAACATTTTAAGAGAACATTTGCTTTTCTCTTCCAAAAAGGTATTTCTTTATTCTCACCTCTGCGGACTGATGAGTCTGAGAATGGGCCGGCTGCAGCATTGTTGTCATCTTGGGTGGTCTCCTCTGAAATTTCTACCACATATGAATCCCCTTGGCTACTAGTCTTTGAGTGTGGATGCCCACGAGATATTTTTGGCTCAGATGAAGGTGAAGTTCTGTGACCAGATTTGCTCTTGGTTTTATGATCTGCTGTTTTCCGGACCAGCTGTTGATGATCTCCAGAACTGAAGTCTATTGGCTCACTGATCCCCAAGTCCATTTTCCTGGAGAGGGAAAGCTGTTATTCAGGTCCTTATGATCATGCAACTACCACCTTAGCATCCTCATAACATTCAGATGATTTTTTCTTAGTTTTAACTCCCTTGGCTCAGTACTTATCAAGTCAGTGCTTAATAAATATTTGTTGAATGAATGGTGAACAAATACTTTTAAGATGAGGCCTATAGAGAAAAATAACTTGCATTCCATTATAAAATTAATATGTTTATAAATACATTCAGCAAGGAGTTACATTCCCTCTTACGTGCCAGGTGTGGAGCTGTTCTCATCTCCTCTGTCCTCAGAGAGCTTACATTTTGGAAGAGAAGATAATCAAACTAGCAATAATATGAAAGACAATATAAGCAGGACCAGGAGTAATGGAGGATGATACAAGAGCTCCTATTGAAGTCTGGAAGAAGACGCAGGGAGTAGAAGAGGCTGTCAAAAGCAACCAGAGAAAGTGAGGTTTAAGCCCAGACTGGAAGATGAGTTGGAGCTGGTCAAGTAAAGAGGTGGGGAAAGGTTTTTCCAGGCAAAGGAATCAGCCTGGACCAGCACTGGAGAAAGGAAGCAGAGAAGGTAGGTCCCAGAAACAGAAGGAAATTCATGTGGCTGGAGCAGGGAGTTCTAAAGGGAGAGTAGAATGAGGTTAGACAGAGGGAAAGTAGGGGCAGGTCCCTGAGGGGCTGGAAAGCCAAGTTCATCCTGAAGCCCATGGCTGTGATAGGAAGAATAATGGTCCCCCAAAGATATCTGCATTCCAATCCCTGGAACCCATGGATATGTTACCTTACTTGGCAAAAGGAACATTGCAGGTGTGATTAAGTTAAGGACTCTGAGGTGGGGAGATGAGCCTGGCTTATCTGGGTGGGCCCAATCAAATCACAGGCATCCTTATGATCATACTTAAGAGAGAGACAGGAGGATCAGAGTCAGAGAAAGAGATGTGACAGCAGAAGCAGAGGTCAGAGTGATACAGCTGCTGCCTTTGAAGATAGAGGAAAGAGCCTGAGAGGAGGAACACAGGTGGCTGCTAGAAACTGGAAGAGGCAAGGAAACGCATCCTCCCTCAGAGCCTCCAGAAAGGCACGCAGACCCCTGACACCTTGATTTTGGCACAGTAAATGCGATTTTGGACTTCTGACTTACAGAACTGTAAAATGATAAATTTGTGTTGTTTTAAGTCATTGTGTTTGAGTAATTTGTTACAGCAGCAATAAATAACTAATACAATGGGAAATCACTGAAGGTTTTCCAGCAGGGGACCTTGGGGATCGGACTAGAAAGATTACACACACAGTGTGTAAGGCACAGTGTGGAGAATAGGCCGAGTAAGCAAAAGTGGAAGCAGAGACGAGAAATCCAGATACAAGATGATGGTGGGCTTTGCCACAGTGCTTTGCAGCGAATACAGTTCTTAGAAAACCAGTACTAAATGGACCAAAAATGGCAAAAGAAAAGGCCACTATTAACCTCAAGGGAGTTGAAGACTAAGGCAGACCGCTGCTGCTGTCTTCCTGTCCCACAGAGAGAGCCATGTGGGAGTCTGAGAAGGAGATTGCTAAGATGGCAAGGGCCTAGACAAACTGAAGACCAACAGGAATGGTAAATAGGAGGTCTGAACAAAATACCAGGCTCTTGGAGAGGCAGACACCATCTTATAAAGATATTGTTTCTCCTCAAATTAAATCTAAATTTTACAAAACTCATTGAGATTTTTTTCAGTATTTAAAAATATAACTCTAAAGTTCATCAGAATGAGTGAATGTGTGAGGATAATCAAGAAAAAAACTGAAAGAGGATTATGGTCGGAGGAGAGTGATTTACCTTATCAGAAATCAAATATCATAAAGCTGTATAATTAAAAGTGCAGTGCTAGCATGGCAATAGATAAACAGATTAATGGGATGGAAGAGATTCAAGACATAGACTCATGTATAGTGGCCGGCCCCATGGCCAAATGGTTAAGTTCACACACTCTGCTTTGGTGGCCCAGATTTTGCTGGCGTGGACCTGGCACTGCTCAGTAGACCATGCTGAGGTGGCATCCCACATAGCACAACCAGAAGGACCTACAAGTAGAATATACAACTATGTACTGGGGGGCTTTAGGGAGAAGAAAAAAAAAAAGAAGAAGATTGGCAACAGATGTTAGCTCAGGTGCCAATCTTAAAAAGAAAAGAAAAGAAATAGACTCATGTATATATGAGAATTTAATACTTGATAAAGGTGGCATTTCAAATTATTGTCCCATGGTGTTGGAACAATTAGCTATGCTTGGAAAACAAAGTTTAATTGCTTTTTCACATCTTTTACAAAAATACATTCCAGATGAATTAAAGATATTACCATAAATAATAATACAATAGATATTCCACAATAAAATATCAATGAATATTTGTGTAGAGCCTTTGTGAGAATGCTACCATAAAAGAAATGCTGGACAGATTTGGGGTAGGGGAACACTTTAAATATCATTACAAGAAGATATCAATAAATCTGAAATGCAAAAGCGTAAAAATAAAATTTACAATATTTACTATACTGTACAAAGAACTTTTAACAAGGAAAAGATGAATAACTCAATAGAAAGATGAGAAAAGAACATAAATAGGCAATTCACAAAGGAAATTTAAATGGTCAATAAACTTAGGAGATGATACCTCACAAATAACCAAGGAAATGCAAGTAAAAATAATCATGAAATGTCATTCTTTTCTTTTTTGCATAAAAGACTGATAAAAACTGAAAAGAAAATTCTCAAAGTTGCAAGGGTGTAGAGAAATGGGTAACTTGGGCCACATGGACTTGTGGGGGCCCTAGATAAGTTGCCTTCATGGGTTGCTTCTCCATAAGAAAATTTGAAAAAGTATATTTTATGGCTTCGTAGGTATAAAAAAATATAACCCAGACTGAATTCATTGTATATTATATATTCATTATTATTATATTCATTTTTTCTCCTGATTTTATAAGAAATTAAAGTATTTTCATGACTCCTAAAACTATTGTGGGCCAGAGGCAATGTACCCAGTGGCTAAGTCAGACCTGAGACAACCTCACAAGAGCTGGCAAGTGTGTAAACTTTTTTTGGTGAGTAATTGGAAGCATCTGTCAAATTCAAAACATGCATAACTTTAGACCCAACAGTTACATTTGTAGGAATTCATGTCATAAAAATACCCATACAAATAGGCAATGACACACGTATAAGGAAATTCACTACATCATTCATTGTTTGTAGCTGTAAAAAAATTTTAAAAGGCTAAATATCCAACATCAGGGGAATGGTTAAATTAGTTTTGGCAAAGAAAAGCAGATATATATATGGATGGATGTGATAAGTCCACTCCAGTATGCTTCTGAACAAAAAAAATCAGATTAGAGTGTAATATTTAGTAAGATCACACTCATATTTTATACACACACACATTTCCAGAGACTGAAGAGATATATCACAAACTGTTGATATGGTTATCTCTAACACAGCAGAGTTGGGGAATACACTCTGAATTGTATTAATTTTTATAATGAGCATTTATTATTTATATAAAGTAAGATATTTACATTTTGAAGAGAAAAAGAAGTATTTCCCTTTTTGGTAAAGTCTGGAGCTCCTCTGAAGAAAGCAGTCTTCATGCACAGCTGAAAAGCACTAAAAGATGCTCAAATAACCAAGTTGGTTTCTTCCATAGCTGTCCTGCAAATCAAAAGAGAGAGAGGCAACAAAATTTTCAAAGCACTCAAAACCAAAAACCAACCAGCAAAAATCAAAGGCAGCTGAGTTTTCCTCATGAAACTATAGTTGGCTGGTGCCTGGATCACAAAATGAGGCTTTCACCTGGTCCTCAAAAAGCTTCCCTGGCTCCTAAGCCAGCAGCCATCTGAGAGGCAGGCAGGTGCTGGAACTGAGAAGCAAAGTTCTGAGTGACAGTTAAAGGAGTGGCAGTTGGAGCATGGAGTGGGCTGAGGACCCCACTGCCTAGGAGAGGGGCTCTGAGTCAAGTCAATCTGCCGAGCCTCATAATGGCCAAATAGGCATGGCCAATGTGCTCTGTGCTGAGCCTCAGGGAGGCCTGAGACTGAATCCCCTGAACCTCCAAAACTGATTCCATGTCAGGGAGTGTCCTGAAGCCTTAATAAAGGCTTCTGGAGGACATGGTGTCCTTCCCACCATGTCATCCCCTCCTCCCAAGCAGGAGGAAGACGCTTACTAAACTCCACCAGGGACTTTGCACAATTGTTTCAAATAAGTAAGACTTGTTTATGATAAAGCAAGCATTGGTTTTTCTGGTGGATGATGATGTTGGTGCCTGCTTGGTACAGGGAGATGCCTACCCCAGGCTGTAGGCCAATCAGAAGCCAAGGAGGCCTAGCTCAGGCTGCTTGGTGAGAGAATTCAGATGACAAAGTGGGGGGACAGTGAGAGGGGAATGGGAGCAGACACTTGTCCTGAATGGAGACTGTTGCTGAGAAAAGGCTGATTGATAAATAAACACACTCATTAAACTTCTAATTAGTGCATGTCTACTGTGTGCAAGGCATAGAGAAGTAGAAGAAACACAGGAAAAAGGCAAACTTCTTTTCCTCAACATGCTCCTAGTCCAGTGGAGGAGACACGGGTACAAAGGTGTACCCTGAGGTAGGAGGGAGGAGCCATAGCAGGGAACAGCTATCTAGAGTTAGGGGGTTGGATAAAGGAGATGTGACTTCTGGCACAGAGAGAGGCTTCCTGGAGGAAGTGATACCTGAGCTGATTCTGGAAAGATGGGAACGGTCCAGTGTGAAGTGTTTGGAGGAAGCATATTCCAGGCAAAGAGAACACCCGGAGCCAAGCAGGTGGGACCCATGTGGCACACACAAAATGGAAAGTAGTTCCATGAGTTTATAACATAGAAGATCCCAGTACAGTGGGACATAGAGAACTCAAGATGCCCCTCCTAAGGATAAAAAAGGAAAAGGTCATAGAGTGACGTCAGCATCATGGCAGAATGAGCTCTTCCCTTGGACTCTCCTCTCTAAGATACAACCCAAAGGACATTCATACACCAACAGAGGACATATACACATCACAAAAGATGTCTGAGAGACCCAGGCAGCAATACGCCTAAAGGTGGTGGTGGGGCTGGATCCTCTGGAGGAAATGGAAGCTGACCAGCAGGAGCTCCATGGAAAGAGATGGGCCATAGCAGCAGAAAGTGCGCAGGTGAAAAGGGCATCCCATCCCTGCCTAGTACTCCAGCCCCAGAATCATCTGGAGCACAATGCAGTGAGCAAGGCAGTGGCAGCTGGGGAAAGGGAAAGTGCACAGTCCTTCAATCACCCAGAGCTCCATACAGAGAGACAAGCAGGGGCTAGGGGAAGTACTAGTGAAGGAGAGTACCCCTCCCCCTGCCCGGTGCTCCAGATCTGCCATAGATCAGTCACTCAGAGAGAAAAGCAGTCAGTGGCCGGAGCTGGGGAGACCCTGCTCATGCCAGGCCCAGAATACACAGTGCCTGATCCCCACTCAGTGGTGGTACGTGGCAGCTGCAACCAGATAAGAGCACCATGAGCAAGCAAAAATCCACTCCATCAAGCAGTATGAGTAGGTATATTAAATCTCCAGACCAGAAGGAAACTGACAAGTACCCAGAAACCAACCCTGAAGACACAGAAATCCATAACCTAAACAACAAAGAATCCAAAACAGCTATCATTAAAAAACTCAATGAGTTAGAAGAAAACACAGAAAGATAAATTAACGAATTCAGGAGCTTCTTCACAAAGGAGATTGAAACTATAAAGAAGAACCGATCAGAATTGTTGGAGATGAAAACCACAATGGATGAAATAAGAAAAATCTGGATTCCCTAAACAACAGAGCTGACAATATGGAGGAGAGAATCATCCAGTAAGAGGACAGTAAGTACTATAGAAATGTTTCAGAGGGAGGAGAAGAGAGAACTAAGACTAAAAAGAAGTGATGAGGCTCTTAGAGAAGTATCTGACTCAATCAGGAAATGCAACATAACAATTATAGGTATTCAAGAGGGGTAAGAGAAGGAGAATGGAGCAGAAAGCTTGTTCAAAGAAATAATAGCTGAGAACTTCCCAAATTTGGAGAGGAAGCTGGAAATCCATGTGAAAGAGGCCTCCAGATCGCCTAACCTTGTCAATGTAAAAAGACCCACTCCAAGGCATATAGTAGTGAAATGAAAAAGTAAAGTACAAGAAAATATACTAGGGGCAGTTAGGCAGAAGAAAATAACTTACAAAGGAATCCCTGTTAGGCTTTCAGTGGATTTCTCAGCAGGAACCTTACAGGCTAGGAGAGAGTGGAATGATATATTCAAAATCCTGAAAGACAAAAACTTTCAGCCAAGAATACTCTATCCAGTGAAAATCTCCTCCAGATATGATGGAGAATAGAAACTTTCCCAGATAAACAAAAGGTAAGGGAGTTCATTGCCACAAGACCAACCCCCTACAAGAAATCCTCAAGAAGGCCCTCATACCTGAAAAAAAAAAAAAAATAGGAAAGGGGCTACAAAGCCCTGAGCAAGAAGATGAATAGGTAGGGAATAATCAGAAAACAGCAGCTCTCTATCAGATCAGGTTAGTATATACTTAACTTTAACATCAGGAATAAAGAAAAGGAGAACACTAAAACTAAAATGATCTCATCATTTTAACCACAAATTCACAACACAAGATGGAAAATGATAGGACAAAAATAACTTAAAAGGGGAAGAGGAAAGGGACGGAATCAGTATAATCTAAGGAAATAAGAGGCTATCAGAAAAAAAGACTATCTCAACTACAAGATTTCTTTATACGAACCTAAGGGTAACCACTAAACAAATAATTAGAATAGAGACATTTAACAATAAACAAGGAGAAAATGAAGAAAACCAACAGAGAACTACCTAATGAAATTGGTAGTCTGAAATACACAGGACGAGAAAAAAAGGAAATGCAGAAGAACTGGGAAACATGCAATAAGATGGCAGTATTAAGCCCTTATATAACAATAATTACTCTAAATGTAAATGTATTGAATTCTCCAGTCAAAAGACACAGAGTGGCAGGATGGATTAAAGAACAAGACCTAACAATATGAGGCCTCCAGGAAACACATCACAGCTCTAGAGACAAACATACGCTCAGAGTGAAGGGATGGAAGACAATACTCCAAGCTAATGGCAAACAAAAGAAAGCAGGTCTTGCCATATTTATATCAGACAAAGCAGACTTTAAGATAAAACTGGTAAAGAGAGACACACAGGGGCAGTATATAATGATAAAAGGGAGTCTCCACCAAGAAGACATAACACTTATAAACGTGTATGTACTCAACACAGGAGCACCAAAGTAAATAAAGGAACTATTAACAAACCTAAAAGGAGATATCAGTGACAACACAGTAACAGTAGGGGACCTCAACTTCCCACTTACATCAATGGATAGATCATCCAGACAAAAATTCAACAAGGAGATAGTGGACTTAAATGAAAAACTGGACCAGATAAACTTAATAGATATATAGAGAGCACTCCATCCAAAACCAGCAGAATATACATTCTTTTCAAGGGCACATAGAACATTCTCAAGGATAGACCATATATTGGGAAAGAAGGCAAACCTCAATAAATTTAAGAAGATTGAAATCATATCTACTATCTTTTCCGACCATAATGCCATGAAACTAGAAATCAACTACAAGAAAAAACTTGGAAAAGGAACAAAAATGTGGAGACTAAACAACATGCTACTGAACAACCAATGGGTCATTGAAGAAATAAAGGGATAGATCAAAAATTATTGGGAGACAAACGAGAATAAAAACACACCACACCATACCTTATGACCCAGCCATCCCACTACTGGGTATCTATCCTAAGAACCTGAAATCAGCAATTCCAAGAGTCCCATGCACTCCTATGTTCATCGCAGCATTATTTACAATAGCCAAGACATGGAACCAACCTAAGTGCCCAGCAACTGATGATTGGATAAAGAAGATATGGTATATATACACAATGGAATACTACTCAGCCATAAAAAATAACAAAATCATCCTATTCACAACAACATGGATGGACCTTGAGGGTATTGTGTTAAGCAAAATAAGCCAGACAGAGAAAGAGGAACTCTGTATGACTCCACTCATAGGTGGAAGTTAACATATAGACAAGAAGAACTGATCAGTGGTTACCAGGGGAAAGGGGGGGGGTGGGGGGAGGGCACAAAGGGTGAAGTGGTGTACCCACAACATGACTAACAATAATAATGTACAACTGAAATTTCACAAGGTTGTAAACTATCATAATCTTAATTAAAAAAAAAAAACAAAAAAACACACCATACCAACACTTATGGGATGCAGCCAAAGGGGTCCTAACAGGGAAATATAAAGCAATACAGGCCCACATTAACAAACAATAAAAATTTCAAATCAACAATCTTAAACTATACCAACAGAATTAGAAAAAGAAGAACAAACAAAGCCCAAACTCAGCAAAAAGAGGGAAATAATAAAAATTAGAGCAGGAATAGGCTAAGTTCCCACCCCACCTCCTGCCACCCCAGGTGCATGGGCAAAAGTGGGGCAAAGGGATTCCAGAGCCTGTGCCCTACACCACCTGCTCAGGGCAGGGCTGCCACTGAAATGCTCTGTTAAGATCTCCATAAGCCCAAGTGACGTCAGCGTCATGGCAGAGTGAGCTTTCCTGGGACTGTCTCCCCTCCAACATACAACAAAAAGGAGCAACCATATTCCAACAGAAAATATCCTAATAGCACAGTAATCCTCAGAGAGTCACAGCAGCCAAATGATGGAGGGCAGAGAGGCTGGAGCCCCCCTCAGAGGAGGTGGAACTGGGTAAGAGAGAACTGCACTCCCTCCCCTAAAGACTGTGATTGCTGCCGCAGGAGGCTCCATGAGGGAAGGAGTAGGGGAGGGGTCGCGTGTCCACAGGATCACCCAGGACTCCCTAGCGCCCTTGCAGCCTAG